AGTCACGTGGTGGTTACACCAGCCGTGGGTCAGGCACTCTTGTCTCAGTGGTCAATTATTGAGCGGAGGGGGGAAAACCAAAATCAGCTGTATTTAAAAAGACTCTTCGAAAATGTCGTCCCTGACATACTCATCGTATAGTTGGAGAGCCTTGATGCTGGTCTCAAATTGATTGTGCGGTTTCAGTTTTTTTATTTTTGTAAAATTGTCTAATATATTTCCTAATCGTAGGTAGAAGCATCATTAATAGACACATATAATGAATATTAGTTGTGTTTACTAATAGATTAACTGCACTGAGTAGTTCTAAAACTCTTCATCCCAGAGAAACTGATGAGTTTTACTAATTCATTGGAAATGTGGATTTGAAAAGTGAGTTGAATCCTTGCTTATGCTGTCCTTGTCAACAGAGCCATGGGAGAAATTACTACTTTTTCTGTATTTCTACTGAGAGGACCTCTAAATCATATTTAAAATGGTAAAAAAAAATTAATAATAGCAGCCATTAAAAAAGAAACCAGCAGGCATTTGCTGAAGCAGTAGAAGGTGTCTGGTTGTTTTATTGCCTTTTTTTTTTACAGTGTGTTATGTTTACATTAATATAACCTTGAGCAGCTTAGTTGATGCCACATGAACTGTTCACTGATAGTGTAAAAATGAACTAAAATCCTTCCTTATTACATACAGAAGACTAGTAACGTCATAAAGCTCTGTAAGGCTAAATATAATTGCTTTAAGACTATTTTTATTTTCACAATAACATTTTTTTTAAATAAGGCGTAATATTTTTTCTAAGAGAACACCTCCAGTGTTCAAATCCTATTGTGTCTTTAATCAGTAATATTGATATTTATGAAGTCTTGCATTTTCTGTCTACAGAAAGATTTCCTGGGCCACAAGGTGCATACTAGTCTAATTGGGTGTGCTAGCAGGATTGTTTAAATGTGGCTTCACGAAGCAGTTGTGTTGAACAGAAATTTCAGGATAGCGTAAGAGAAATCTTAATAATAAACAGGATTTGACCAGGACACAGTTTTTGACAGAAATAGGTCTGCAAATGATACATGCTAAATATAATTGCATTGATACATGCGTTCTGCACAAATTGTGTTCATTCATTGTGTTATTCGACCACCATTCGATCCTGAAGCAAGCTGGTGACTTTCAGATTTGAGTCTTAGTTTTTTAAACTCCATGCTTTGCTTTTCAGAAAAATTGCTAAGTTCAGTGTAATGCAGGAGGCAGATTGTCAGGCAGAGCCTTTGGCCCACAGCACCCGCTTGCTCTTTAGCTCTAGTTAGCTCAGAAGCATAATTTCCTCAGTATTTAATGTCAATGAAAATTATGATAAATAGTTACCAAGCGAACCTGTGAAAGCATGGTTATTTTTCATGCTGCCAGTCATGCCACATTAAAAAATACCTTGATTATTTTGTCTTCAAAACCTGTCTCCGGCAAATTGAATGTCTTGATTTGAGGGTTTTTTTTGCCTGAATTAGTGATACTTTTTGACTTTACTGACAGTTTGCTATTCTTTATTTTGAATGGGCCCAAACCATTCTCATTTTTCAGAATTGCCATTGCCAAATGTTTACTCAAATGACCCACTGTGATTTTTAAGTGGGTTGCAATACTATGTTTTGCCTTGAAACTCTTCTTAATGAAGTTTGGAAAAGAACATCATGTACTTGTTGCAGGCGGACTTTGTGAATTGCATTTGGTTTTATCCATTGCAATTTTCAGTAGCCAGAGGAGGGACCGTGCTCATGCATACTGCAACTGTGCTTAAAGAACAAACAATTTAATGCTTTCTTCACCGAGTCACACATTCTCAGAATGAACCTTTATTGATCCAGGCTGTTCTTTGAAGCCTGTCAATTGGCATTTCTGGGCAGAGTGGAAATAGAATCACAGACTGGTTTGGGTTAGGAGGAACCTTCAAAGATCATCTAGTTCCAACCCCCTGCCAAGGGTAGGGACACCTCCCACTAGACCAGGTTGCTCAAAGCCCCATCCAGCCCGGCCTTGAACACTTGCAGGGGTGGGGCATCCACAACTTCTCTGGGCAACCTGTGCCGGTGTCTCACCACCCTCACAGTAAAGAATTTCTTCTTTATGTCCAATCTAAACCTACAGTTTTTCAATTTAAAACCATTTCCCCTGGCCCTTTTGCTCTCCCTCTCCTTTCTGCCTTACAGGCAGCGGTAAAAAGTCTCCCAATCTTTCTTAAAAGCCCCTTGTAAGTACTGGAAGGCTGCTATAATGTCTCCTTGGAGCCTTCTCTTCTCCAGGCTGAATAGCCTCAACACTTGTAGCCTTTCTTCATGTACATGTACTTCTTTTTTATTTGAAGATATTCTAGGTTGCTTAATACTGAAAATTTCTTATGAGGAAATTATCATATGTTTTGGTATATGTAGTGTTCCAAGAGAGGAATAATATTTCATATACTTCCAGCATAATTTTATGCTGGCTTAAAATATCTAGAGTCTGGCTTCTTGTTAATAAAGTAATGCTATGAAAAAATACAGTATCACTGTCATTGTAAATTAAGTATAAATGTACCTATTTCTGACACTCGGAACCCAGGGAGTTACAGCTTTGGAGGTAAATTGGTAAAAGGGCTATTCCTTTTGGAACAAAGCCAAAATGCCGATGCATGCTGTGAAAAATCCTGCACCCAGTTTTAGGCTCGTAGGTGGGATCCAACTCTTTCTCTGAGTGTTGGTAGACTTTTGTAGAATGGTCTTCAAATTTTTTTTTTTTTTCCTCTAATAGCTTTCCTTCAGTTAGTGGGGGCAACTATACATGATGCTGGTCTAGGAGAACTGTATTTCATTTCTATCTTGGTCCCTTCCATGGGAAATTTCAGTAGCTGTTTTCTGCCTTGTCCATGACTGTTCTGTCTTCATTAGGCTTCGTTATATATGTTCTCAGTTTTCTCCTGGTTACTCTTTGCTTCATGGGGTGTTTGCTCCTGAATTAACTTGTCCTAGTACGTGCCACTCTTCTGAAGGCAAGTGTCCAGGCTTGTTGGCTGTGAAGCAATGCTGGGTCTGAAGCCTTTTCTAGTCCAGGCTGTTTTTATTATTCTTGCTAATGAACTAGTAAACCTTAATGCAGATGAAAGAGACAAATTGTTTTTCAGCGGAGCCCTGGCTGCTGCTGCCTCTGGCATGACCTCATGGGCTCTGCAGGGTGTTTAATTGACACTGTTCCCCAGCAGCAGCGGAATTGGAACAACTGGGAGCATCAAATTTCCACAGAGTCTGTTTGCTTTTTGCATTGTAAAAAGTGAAATTCTCAACCTTTGAGATGTTGTTTATAGCTGTCAGGAAGGATGAAGGAGGAAAAAAGGAAAATCAGAATTCCTCTGCTAGAAGTAGGTAACCTTGCATCGTCATGAAAGGAGTAAAGCCCTGGAGTCTGAGCGTGCTATGGAACCTACAGTTAGCTGGTGACGCCAGGTTTTGTAAATTGAGGAACTACAATTCTTTTTCACCATATCTTGATGCTTACCTTACACTGTAAGGAAATCGGGGCAGTGTTTCTCCGTCTTTGCACTTTAGATAGTTACATGCCTGGGAAGGACATCCATGATTTGAATTGAGTGTGGAGGATGGATTAAGGGATCCTGTTCCTATATAGCTGCTTAAAGAGATAACTGGTATTTGCACTTTTTCTGGTAAGTAGGGAGTAAGACCTTTCTACCTAACCTTATTCATGAGACAGCATCCTTGAATTTCTTGTCTGTACTTCTTAATGTTCAGTCATCTCTTCAGTTTGGCCAAGGTCTGTATCAGGTATTAATGCATGATGCACATGACAGCACCTGGCAGCACCAGTGATGTAACAGAACTTACTAAAGGGGAAGGATAAAAGAGATGCAGAAATTAGAGATGATGATCGTGGTTCTGAAATAGAAGACTGGAAAAGGTAACCAATGACTATCCTGAATTTAGGATAGAGAAGTACTTATGTGTCCACACTAAGCAGCGGGTTCAAATTCCAAAGGCCTTGGGAAAATTTTCTGGCTAGGCTTATACACTTCCATGTCTGGTATAAAGCTTCATCCCCTTGTACTATTGGTGTCTTGGTTTTTGTAAAATCTGCTTGTGACCTCCTCTGGAATAATTAAGGGAGTAGTCATGTAATAGTCATGAGAAGTGTCAGAATAATGTTTTTCAGCAGTTGTTTAAAGATGGACATGATACTCTTTGTGATAAAATACTGGAGTTATTAGTCTTGTGCATCTTGCATTTAAAGTCTGAAACTCCATTAATGACATATTTTTCCTCTTGTCTTTGGTGCAATTAATAATGTAAAACCGCTGTAGTCCCAGTGTTCAGTGTTGAGAAACTCTGTGATCATGTAGCATATTTTTCATAACTTTATGCTTGTGCACATTTGACTTATTCAGCGCAAGTAGTTTATATTGTGTCTTTGATTATTAACTCCAGAGAAGAGGTTGGGATATGCTGAAAAATATCAGTTAGCTGAAAGGAGGTCTTCAAGAAATGTTTATGTATTCTTTTTATGCAATGTGTATTAAATTTTTTATTATTATTTTCATGTCTTTCTCTTCTTCAGCTGTCAAACGTTTGATGAAAGAGGCTGCAGAACTCAAGGATCCTACAGATCATTATCATGCACAGCCTTTGGAGGTTTGTTTCTCTATATGTTTGCAAGAGCTTGTTAATTAGGCTGTGTTATTAATATATATCTAAGTTCTCTGTATGCATTTGTGTTTAAAATATACATATTTAGATACTAGCAGCCCTTTTAAAATTATTTCAATTCTTTCCTATGATGGAAATCAACAGCAGGATTCCACTTTAAAAGCATTGTAGTTCCAGGTTGTCAGTGAAAGTATGTTACTACTTGTATTACATTGCACCTGAGTAATTTTATCATACAGAAATAATGTTTTTGTTTGCCCTTCTCCTTCATGAACCCACATAAATGCATTATGTTTTAAGTTAAGCTTTTTACACCCAAATCTGACATCTGGTTTGATTGCTCAGTTGCTCAACAAAACATTAAGTGTTCTATGAGAATTCACTATTTTGTGTATGAAAACCCTGTGAAAAATGTAAATGGGTGCAATTCTGGATGCATCATAAGAGGGAATGCTTAGATTCCACTTAAACAGTAGCTTCCTGAAATCTTCTAAACACCCAGTAAAGTTTTGGGGCTGAGAAGACAGTGAACCAGTTGTTTGCTTCTTTGACACAGATTCCCTTTTCTTTTTTCTTCTCCCTTTGTTGTGTGTGGGCATTTTAGGATAATCTTTTTGAATGGCACTTTACTGTTAGAGGCCCTCCAGATTCAGATTTCGATGGAGGGGTTTATCACGGCCGAATAGTATTACCACCTGAATATCCCATGAAACCACCCAGCATTATTTTACTAACGGTAAGCATGTTCACTAGTTTTTCCATTTTGCATGATCGATTTAACTGTGCATGTCTGAGAGAGAGATTCTTGGCATTGTGCCCTCATGGCCAAGAAGGCCGATGGCATCCTGGGGTGTATTAGAAGGGGGTTGGCTAGCAGGTCGAGGGACGTCCTCCTCCCCCTCTACTCCGCCCTGGTGAGGCCACATCTGGAATATTGTGTCCAGTTCTGGGCCCCTCAGCTCAAGAGAGACAGGGAACTGCTGGAGAGTCCATCGCAGAGCCACAGAGATGATGAAGGGAGTGGAACATCTCCCTTATGAGGAAAGGCTGAAGGAGCTGGGTCTCTTTAGCTTGGAGAAGAGGAGGCTGAGGGGTGACCTCATTAATGTTTATAAATATGTCAAGGGGGAGTGTCAGGAGGATGGAGCCAGGCTCTTCTCAGCAGCGTCCAATGACAGGACAAGGAGTAATGGGCACAAGCTCGAACATAGGAGATTCCACAAAAATATTAGAAAAAAACTTTTTCCCTGTGAGGCTGACAGAGCACTGGCACAGGCTGCACAGGGAGTTTGTGGAGTCTCCTTCTCTGGAGACATTCAAAACCCACCTGGACACGTTCCTGTGTGACCTACTGTAGGTGATCCTGTTCTGGCAGGGGGGCTGGACTAGATGATCTTTTGAGGTCCCTTCCAACCCCTGACATTCTGTGATTCTGTGATTTCAGGTAACCTTGTTTTTGTAAGGAAGGTGACATAGCATAGTAAATGCTCCCAATTTAAGAGCTGAAGTTTTCCAAGGTCACTTTGGCATTCTGTAATTACATGAAGCTTTGCACATAATAAGTGGAAGTTTTCTCCAGGAGTAATCCCATTGCTGATGTGATTCTCTAAGCTGTTGTTCTCTCCGTGGACCCTCTTGGTCTCTGTGGGAGACAGTGGTCGTATGTAGGAAGGCAGATCTATGTTTGGGGCAAAGGCCCACGTTTGTGCATAGTTTGTAGCACTGTAGCTTTTCAGGCTCTCTGTGTGGGGTTACAGGAGCAACAGGCAAGCCACCAAGTCACACTGCGACATGAGCGTTATCAGTTAAGTATCTCTTTGTGCATGAATAGAGGGAGATGGCAGACTTCAGAAAGCTGAATTGCGGTTTTGTGAGGTTGGCAATAATAAAATTATCAATTATTGATTGCATATAGATTTGTTTGATGATGACTTTTACAATTTGTACCAAAACCCCAAGAGTTAACTTCCAGCATGTTTTGTTGTATCCTTCTTCTTCCTTTGAAGGCCAATGGCAGGTTTGAAGTGGGGAAGAAAATTTGTTTAAGCATCTCAGGGCATCATCCTGAAACATGGCAGCCTTCATGGAGTAGTAAGTAACAATTATTTGTAAAATATTACCCCATCAAGCAACTAGATCTTTAAACTGAGAGCAAAAAGAAGTCTCCCAAAGAATGTTTACAGTAGAAAAGGAGACAGATTTTGAGGGAGTAAAAGTACAGGAGAATTTGAGAAATGTAGAGTCATGAAAGAGTGACATAGGAGGATTTGAGAATGGTATTACATAAATGTGGGGTGAAAGGGTTGAGAAACTGAGGGGTGGTGGTAAGCTCTTACTTATTCGGATGGACAAGCATTAAGAATTCTCAGATTACTTAGAATATTCTTTGGGGGTTTTTTTGGTTTTTCTGTTTTTTTTATAAATTGTTCCTATGAAAATACCTTAAATCCTATTACTTTACCCTATTTCTCTGTAATTACTAACCAAGTTGCATATTGACAGAGGGGAATGTAGTCAGCTTTTAATTATGATGCTGTACTTCTGAATACTCAAGGAAAGACAGTGTGGTCTGAGTTCAGAATAACAGTATTTTTTACCTTTTTTTTAAAGTTTCATTGTCATAGAAATTGAGAGTTGGCGTAATTAATCCATGGCAGTATTTCCGTGTTTATATAATTTTAGTTTTGTTAAGTACAGTACATAAATTATTTTTGAGTATCAGCTGCACTTTTACAGATAAGAATAAAAGAAAAACATTGAGCTTGTGAGCACTAAATTGCAGAATCCATGTCCAGCAGAAAACACATGCAAAAAGAAGAATACTTTATGAATCCTCTTCTTTCTTCCTCCATAAATATGTTAATTCTGTGTTATCTTTTTTCTTTGAAACCCATTTTTGAAGTCTGAAACTGTAATCTTTATAGTGATGCAACATGTTTGTGACAACTTATCTTTTCTTCTCTGTGTTGGCTGACAGAAGAATAAGACCTTACCTTTAATTAATAATGTGAAGTTTAAAAAATGAAGAAAGCCTTGCTGTGTGTGAAGAAAATCAACCCAGTGCTGCTTGTGTGAAATTCAAACTACTCTGGACAAAATTAAGTTTTGCTGACAGAATTGCAAACTTTCTATACAGAGTGTAGAGTGAGGTGAAATAAGTGGTTTCTGCAACTCTGTTTGTGTCTCTGTTTTTCCCATTTTAGTAAGAACAGCTTTACTAGCCATTATTGGATTTATGCCAACCAAAGGTGAAGGAGCAATAGGATCTCTAGATTATACACCAGAGGAAAGAAGAGCTCTTGCAAAGAAGTAAGGACTAAGTTTGCTACTGTAGCTACATATTTATGTGTTCTCTTTTATAGTAAGGCATTGAGTAGAAAGTAAGTCACTGCGGTCTCTTCTCTTGCATTTATTCTAAATGCAAAGAAAAGTTCTGTGCCTTGTGTATTTTTTTTTTTCCTGAACATTGTGCAAACTCAGAACTTTCAGTTAAACAAAATCCTTTGAGGGCTGTGTTCCTTCCAGTGTTGTGTGGTCAAATTAGAGGTTCATCTTAAAATCAGTCTTGGAGAGGTAATTAACATTGCAATACAGTGGTTAATTGCAACTTGGAGGGAAAATGAGTGTGATGGAATTGACAGTAGGTGTAAGTGGGCGCGAAAACAAACAAAACAGTGATGCATCATTTCCCTGAAGTAAATAATAATGAAACAATGACAAAAAAATATGAAGCTTCTGAATGAGTTTTAGCAAATAGTCACAAATCTAATTTTATGATGAAATTATTAGCTTAGTGAACAAGGGGGAAGTAGTGGATGTTGTTTATCTTCACTTTAGGAAGGCTTTTGGCACTGTCTTCCTTACCATCCTCCCAGAGAAATCGAGTCCAGGTCGGGGCTGTATCCAGGTCAGGGTACAAGAAAGATACAGACGTACTGGTGTGAATTGAGGACTGTCAGTGTTAGGTTAATGGTTGGACTTGATGGTCTTGAAGGTCTTCTCCAATTTAGGTGAATCTGTGAGGGGCTGGGATGTGTTTCGTATAAGGAGAGGCTAAGAGAGTTGAGAGTTGAGGCTTGAGGGATCTCGTCCATGGGTACAGGTGTCTGACGGGAGGGTGTAAAGGAGGCAGAGCCAGGCTCTTCTTGATGGCATCCAATGACAGGACAAGGAGTGATGGGCACTAACTGAAACCCACAAAATTCAGTCTTAATGCCAGAAAACACTTGTTTTTACTGTAAAGATGATCAAAGCACTAGCATGGGTTGCACAAAGAGGCGGTGGAGTCTCTATCCTTGGAGGTATTAAAAATAATGACTAGAAAAATACAAGAGTAGTGTGCTCTGCTTGACCCTGCTTTGAACAAGGAGACTGGACTAAATGATCTCCAGAGGTCCCTCCCAACCTGAATTATTCTGTAATTATCCTTAAATGATATCTTATATCTGTACGTTTGGGTTTTTTGTGTGTGTCTTTCTCTTTTCCCCATCTGGGAAGGAAAAGATACTTGAAAGACAATATACTTATTTTATAAGCAAAGTTACGGTATTCCAAATTGTAATTAGCACCTTAATTTGCGGGCAGATGTGGACGAATAAGTACTGTACTCTGAGCCAATCAAGAAGTGCAAGTTTCCTCTGAGCATGGCATGGAGTCAAAGCTCGGAAATCCTGCTGAGAGGTGGAGTTTAGTGGGTTGGTCTCAGTACCGTAGTGTCAAGGCTGTGTGGTTTGTCAGTGGCTTGGAGAACTGCCTGCAGCGTGCCCTGTACGTGATTCTGTGTGCAGGAGGGGAGAGGAAATGTTCTTGCAGAAGTTGAAATTCCCAGATTTGAGGTGTAAGCTCCTGGGTCCAGTTTCATATTTGTAATAATAGTTAAATCTCTGTAATTTACAATTTTAATTTGCTGTAGATATAAATTAAGTTTAAAAATGGTATAACAAACTATTAATGAAGTAGAGATAATAACAATATCTGAGTCAGTTGTTAATATTTTCCTAAATGACATGAGCGAATAACTATATAGACAATCCTCAACATTTTTTTTTTTTCAAGATTGTGTGATTTGGGGTGGGGGGGGAAGTACTTTTAAACTACTGGTCTTGATGCCGTTTAACTTTCTGTGGATTGTTTTGCAAATAGATTATTTAAACAAGCACACAAGAACATTATGAGAACATGTTCTTCTGAGCTATGTCATCTGTGGCCAGGTCACAGGACTTCTGTTGTGAAATGTGTGGCACATCTATGAAGACAGCCCTCTTACCACTGACATCTGGAAGCGTGTCAAGCCAGGCCGACAAGGAAGCTAAAGAACTTGCCAGACAAATTAGCTTCAAGGTGATGTCACGGTTTAAACTTTTATCTCTGTTGTATAGAATTGAAAAAAAAAATTGCTGAGGAAAAACTCATAAATTGCAGGAGTGTTCATACTTCTATAAACCTTCATCAGTCACTACGTGGAAACTTGATGGGTTTTTTAGGACAATCTGAAAGACAAAAATAGGAGTGGATCTCTTTCAGTGTGCCAGTTAATAAAGTGTGCATCTCCAGCACTGATTGATTAGTTTTAATTTCAGTGGTGAGCACTGTGGTAAGAACTGCATAACTATGGTGACTTTTACTTTCATGTTTTTCATCACTAGTAACTTGATTAAATTCTCCAGAATTAGCCTTATCATAGAAGTGTTAGGAAAGTTTAGGCAAAGCTAACCAAATTTCTTTTTTCCTTGTGAATTTTTTTCTTCTTTTGGCATATGGAAGGAATAAAACATATTCCTACTGAAAAATGGTTACAAATTCTTTTGAGCCACTCTGCAGCTGAAGATACTGAAAGCTGAACTCTAGTATGGAAGTTGGTGTTAACCCAAAAACGTGTTCTCTAGCTTGTGTTTCAGTGAAAGTAAGGTTTGTTGAGCCATATGTGTTCCTTAGAAAATTGCATGTCTTGCATGCACGGTGTTGTTTTTCACCGGGTTTTCCACTAAACTCTTAATTCAGCCACTAAGGAAGACTGTTGTGCATGAGGGCAGGGAACTACGGTGAAATATTTTATGGCAATGTGGCATTGGTGCAGAGGACATTCTCACTAAGGTCAGGGGTGCTAATATTTCCCATTTTATTGCCAGTGTTCTCCCAACACTATCCTAAACACTACTTTTTTTGTGTGTGTGGCATGAGAGTAAAGATTGCCTCCAACTCGGCATTAGCATCCATTTGGCAGGACATGTGTATTCCTGTGCCACCTCGCATCTACACGTGTTGTTGTGGTTGGGGGTGTGTGTAATACTGCTTGCCATAAAAACATCTCAAATATGTTACAAAGATGAGGAGATACAGGGACAGTTTTAAGGTTGAGCTGCTCAGAGAAGCAACAGGTTGTCTGCTCCTGATTTTTTTTTTAAATTCATAAGAGTTAAAAAGCGTAGGATTATTTTTTACTTAAGAGCTGCTAAACATCACAGAAATTCTAGAAGTATTAGAGTATAATTTTTAAAATTTTCTTTATTTTTTTTACAAAGAACTCTTAACTTAAATGTCATGCCTTTTCAGTTTTAAAATGAAACGCTCCAGGACATAATCTCTAAAAATATTGATGCATTCCATGTTTCCACATACTTAACTCCTGAGAACAAGCACTCTGCAAGGGAAAAATGAACAAAAGCCTCAGCTCTTCACAGCCTTTTACAGTCCATTGTGGTTATTTTTTACAAGGAAAATCAGTTCTGTCCCCTGGTTGTGCCTTCTCTCCCTCTCTCAAATTGAATTGTAGGGATTTTTTCTGTTTAACTTCCTCCTTCTCTGCTTTTCTGTGCTTTGTTATTACCTTTTGTTTGATTTATGTTAGGCTGAGACTCTTGATTGTTCTGTTTTATAATAAAAACGACCCTGCTTTGAGGAGGGAGTTGGACCAGGTGACGTCTAGAGGTCCATTCCAGCCTAAATTATACATGACTGGGTGTTGCTAATCCGTATTTGAGTCGTAACTTTTCCTATCTAATATTAGAGTTCATAATAGTCAAGTGCAAAAGGAAAGCAATCTTTTTAGCGATCTTTAGCAATCTTAGCAATCAGATTTTAAGTGGTTTTAAATCTTGAATTCATCTTCAGGTTTTTTCAGTGACGTATTTTTCAGATACTCCTGGGATAATACACAGCAAAAACCAGGGAATTTCCTCACACAAAATAGTATAATGAAAAAATATTGTTATCTTGTTATCACCATAACTGGTTGGTTTCTAATACACTGTTTGTTATTTCTTCTTACTACTACCACTACTTATATCTGCATTTGAAGATGAGTATTAGATTTGAAATTGTCATCATTATAATAAATAGAAATCTAGATACGTGACTTGGGAGGCAATTTGTTGATAAAAATTGATTTGGTCATGACTTTTTAAAGGGTTTTTTAATGTGTATAGAGTTTAAAGTGCTCAGTTCAGGACTATGATGCTATGTCCTTTTCCATTCCCAAAGGAATATGGATATGTATACATATGCAGACATATATACGTTTTAACAAGAGGTTTGCTGCTTGGGAGGCAATTTGTTGATAAAAATTGATTTGGTCATGACTTTTTAAAGGGTTTTTTAATGTGTATAGAGTTTAAAGTGCTCAGTTCAGGACTATGATGCTATGTCCTTTTCCATTCCCAAAGGAATATGGATATGTATACATATGCATATATATACATATACATATGTATATATATACATATATACGTTTTAACAAGAGGTTTGTTCATGATCTTCTACATGTCACTACTGATCTCTTGTCTCAAATTTCCAGCAGTTGGTGCTTATTAGACATTTTATAGATGCGTACAGAAGTAATCTTGTAAGACTTGTGCTTTTCTTTTGCTTTGCTCAGGCTGAAATTTAAATACTGGAAACTGAGGTACACGTGCCTGACACAGCATAGTGCCGGCTATATGTGCCAACTCTGGCTCTGAGGCAACTTTGATACTGAAACCAGTAGAGCCACACTAAATTAGCACTTACTGGAGGCCACTTAGCCCTGCTGACAAACAGGCTATATTAGTTCACTTGTGACAACAGCAGTCAGTATTCACCTGAGACTGTGAGAAACTGAAGTTTTAAAAAATGGTGTTATTTCTGGCATAATACTGTCCTTAATATTTCTAAATAATTTTCTTTTTTACTGTATACATCTATGGTGTTTTTTTAATCTTATACCTGGTGTTATGTGCCAGCAAACATAAAACTGTTGTTTGATGCTTGTACATACGCAGTCTTATTTGTAAAGAATGAGAATTTCTTAAACCTGTTGGTGTGTGACTGAAACGCAGATGACATACTTGATTGTTGCATTTCAGTAAGCCTCGTATTCTCTACACATTAAAACACACATTCCAGAATGAGCCTTTTGAAGCAATTTTGATCTTGTCTTTGAAGCGTACGTATCTACTCCTTGTTGTAGGCAGAAGTCAATTCCTCCAGGAAGTCTGATGCTGGACCCTCAAACGTGTCAGGATTGAACCACTCTGCCACTTCCCGCGAGCCCCAGCAGGATGGTGCAGCTCGAGCATTCCAGGATCCAGCAAGTGCAACGGTACGGCCCGTCTTTGAGTACAAGCATAGGCTGAACATGAAATCAGTACTACTAAGCAGTTTGGAGGCCTCATTAAATGTGTAACTCGTACATTTCTTCTAGAAATTCTGTGTTTTCTTTTATAAAATCTGTATGTAAACTCTAGGAAACAGAGTGCTGAAGCGCTTTTAGAGATAGTAATCTCTTTGCTTCCACCTCCTTGTCTTGAAAACAATAAATAGTGCTCTTTTAGCAGCTCTTATGCCCAATAGTTCCTTTATAAAGTGTGGATTAATCGTTCATCAGAATGCTCCGGTATCTGAAGTGCTACAATTTACCATCTGCATAAATTATCACAAGTTCTTGCGGTAGAACTCTTAGCCAGAGGCAAAAAATGTTTGTGTTAATTTGTAGCTTTTAAATATTATTAAAGCACTTACACTTGGTTTTTATAACCTCTTAAATCAATCTGACTAAAATATTCTTGCTATCTGAAGTATGACACCGAAGTTTTAATACTGCTAGGTGTAGGGCTTACATAATGATTTCGGAAGTGACCGAGGCCTGGTGGTGGGCCAAGGCAGCTGCTTTTTGTGACTGTGGCAAATGCAATCTAAATTCACTGATAAATTGCAGGCAAATCCCAGCTAAGCTGTCTTTTTTAGAGAGGATGGGGCTGCAGATGGTTTAAAAAAAAACCAACACGTCAAATAACGTCAGACCATCTGTTGCGTGTTTGCAGCATATTTTCAAGCTATGTGGAAATATAAACATGCTAATAGCATACTTTTTTCCCACAATAAGGATTTTTCCAGATTGTTCAGGATTTAATAAACGATTTTATTTTATTCTTCTTATTACAAATCCTGGCTAATATAGTAGAACTAGCCCAAATACCAAGGCATTGCTAGCATTTTCTTGAGGAAAAAGAGACTGACTCTTTTGATTAATCTCATTTCTAAGAAATTTGGTTTAATCAGTTATGCTAATTTAGTAAGTGATGATAAACTTAATTTTCTGCAGAACAATCCCATGTGAAACAAGACCTTTAAATGTATAAATATGTTAAAATATTTCTATGTGATAAACTGGAAATGATGAAAAGTGGATTCATGTTTTAAGGGTTCAGACTGTCACAGTCATGATTATTAGTTTGAGTTTGAAACTCCCGGCTTCTGAGCTGCCGCAGTTTGAGTGTTAGGAATTTTCTGGAGCTATTGGAGAGTGAAAACCTAACAGCCACATGATGAAAGCAAGAAATGCGTAACGGGGAAGACTGTTTTAAAGAGTTTGAGCTCTTGCTATTTTTGTGTTCTTATGCAAAAGTTAATAGAAAACTTCTCAAAGCAAGGGGGCTGGAGGCCTCAGTCTGCTAACAAGTGTGGAAGAATAGGCATGCAAACCTCAGGCCCTTTCTACTCAGCTGGGCTTCTCACATGTGCAAAATCAGTTTGTTGGGTTGGTTCTTGTTGTGTAAAGACCTAATTCTGCCTTACTAAGCTGTGGTCTGCTCTCTAGCAGGCAACTAAATAACCCTCGAAGGCAATGTTGAATATGTATTTGCTGAGTTCCTGCTGTTTAAAAAGGCAGAGTGAGGGACAGGGGTTGTCTCTCCAGCGTGGCACTTGCTGATGATGAAGATGGCTTCTGGCCATGCTTTTCACCTGGTATCTGTACTTTTCAGCAAGACCTGCTCTTTGTTCGCATTCGTAGCCCAGTTAGCGATGACGGAAACATGCAACGCTCCTGCAAATGTTGCATCTTGGCCGTTAAAAATTTGACGTTATTAGAGAACATTTATCAAGTATTTAAGTGGCTTGCCTCTGAACAAAGGAAAGGGAGGTTGGGGGGATGATTCTCATGCCAGTGACAGTTCTCCCGGGAGAATCTGTCCTAACGACGTTGTCAGGATTTGCGACTACAAGGCCGAGGGTGCAGCAGCATGAGGACAATAAAGGGAACAATGCTGCTACGGAGCCTCTGAAAAGTGCTGCTTGGGTAAAAGGATGCAGAGCTGCAAAAAACAGGTTTTGAGCATTACTAAAGGGTAAAACAATAGGCTCCCTAAAGCATTGTGCAGCATATTGCATAGTCTGAAGCCAACGAAGAAAACACCTCTCTCCCTTTCCTCCCCCCCCTTTTTTTTTATTTTCTAAAATTTGTAGTAGTTGTTGATGTGTATTCAGGGCAAAGTAATGGTACATTACTCCTGTTTGGGTATTCAGATTTCAGGTAAGGTACTGCTAGAAGTTGGCTTCATGAAAGTAATTGCCCTTCACATTAAGAAAATGAGATTCTTCCACATCTGAGCAAAATGGTCAGCGGTACTGGGGTTGGTCTCGGGTCCAGATTAAAGCACTTACTATGCCTCTAGTGACCTAAATGTTAGTCTCCAAACCCTAACCACAGTCAGGGGGCTTAAATAGTGTAGGCTAATGAGCACTGCAGCTTACTGAGAAGCAAGGGCTGGACAGCTGCATTGCTCTGTCTGTCCCTGAGAGCTCTGAGTAAATCCACGTGGGCTCTTCTGGGAGTCTGAGCTCCTGCCATGCCTGTAGCAACCTACGTTTAGTGTATTGATGTGGAATGATGTCCCACCTCAGTGCATACAGTTGATGAGTAAAGTTAGTGCTTCATAAGAACTATAAAGTGATAAGCTACAAAGTGTAGTTAGGCTTTTTTTCCAATAACCTGGGAATAAATTAAACCTCAGTACACCTGTTATTACACAATATTTTCTAGTGGCATCCTACGCTTATATACTGTCCAGGTGAAGCGTTATAATGAGGAGTGATGAAATGAACTGAAGACATCTAATCTTGAAGTGATGAGTGAGATTTCTGTGAGAAAAGGAGACTGTGCTTGTACATGAGATTTATAGAAGCCCTTGTTTTTAATCGTATGTTCTGAATGGTTTATTGTTAAAAAGCGTTTCCTTTTGTCACTCTTAACTGATGTCTTAAGTTTTGTAATACTGCAGTAACAATTTTAAATGTCTTGGAAATCGGGAGTACTTGGTCCATCTTTAGATTCACTAAAAACCAGTCATTTCTTACTAGCCTTTAAGTCACTCTGTGACAAACTTCAGCTGTTACTTGGTTGGACGTTACATGGAGAAACAGTCCCTTATATCTTATCTTTATATCTTCAGATTTCTGTACCTTTCAGATTATGAATATAACTGAAAGCAGCTTTTGTAACCCAGAGGATTTATGTGGTTCTGAGTTCCTAGAGTTTGCTGTAATTTTTTAAAACATTCCTTCCAAGATGATTATTTAATACTTCCAGCATTTTGATAATTTTTTTTAAAAACCAACAGCCTGGAGACACAAGTGATGCGGTGAATGCTACCATTTTTCAGTAGATTGAACATAGTGTGGATTTCCTTGTTTGCATTTGGTTATACAATAGAACTTTTAATTAATTCTAATATGTACATTTTACTAAACTAGCCTTATTCATCAAACTTGAATGTCCTTGGAGCAAAGTTTTCTACCAGTTCCTACAAAGTTTCTAACAGTTTCAGAAGCTTCAGAAATAATGTGGTGTATGAAGTGCGTATTCAAAGACTGTAAAGATCAGATGCTGAAGGTGGCTATTGTTATAAATTGAGGGAATAAAACCCAGGAGCCAATTTAGAATTTAAGTGATTAATAAAATTTATTAAATTTAGCAAGCGGCTGAGTAAGCAAAACAGCGCTAGGCAGCGGGGAGGAGCTCTCACCAATGTAGCTCTTACCAAATAATTTATTCTGTTAAGCCCTCATCCCCAACATTTCCAGTATGGTTTGGCAGAGAAGGACTTAAAATTGGATGTGTATTGTATCATGTGAGGTGTCATCTTAGGCAAAAAATCTCAATATATTTGCTTAAGGAAAGTTTAAAAACTTGCCATAAGTGAAGGCAAGAAGATTGTGTGTAGCTTGTTTACTTTTTTTAAAAAAAAATAAGTTTTTTAATTTGACAAATTTTTTATTAACATTTTTTTTTTAAATTTAGTCCCTCTGTAATTTTGAGTATTCTTAACGATTAAGTCTTCAAACAAAAAAACAAATTATCTAGTAGTATGTATTGTTTAGGATACAGTAGCATTTGATCCCAAATTTATGTCAGGTAATGATCACTCCTTTCTTACCTAACTTGCTTTGGCATGTCTTCTCATACTTGGTCATTGATTTATGTGAGGAATCCCAAGGCAGTGAGTTGGCTCAGCTTTGGGTGAAGGAGTCAGTCTTCTAATGCCCTGATGCATCATTATAATTTCTTCCAAAAATTAAAGCCTTGCAGTTGTTAGTGAGGTTTCTCTTGAATCACAGTTCTGTTTGAGTCAGTGTACAGCACCTGGTCTCACTCAGAGCACGGCCTTTCTGTTTTATTTTTAAATTAAAAATGTGCCTTGTTGGCAAGAAACCCAAGTGTGTGACAGCCAGTGCAAGATACTTTTGTTAGTAAGCATGAAGGATCAGGGGTACTTCTAGACATTTTTTTTAAATTCCATTTTTAAAAGCTATTTTAAGAAGAATAGCACTTTGCCTGCTGAATTTGCAGTTCTTGCTTCCTGAATTCAGTTTTCTCCCTCTCCTCTTCTGAATTACGGGAATGTAGATGAATCGAGGAACTTCATTTTCAGAGACTCAGCTTCCCTCAGTCTTTATTCTCCTTGGCACGAAAAGCTTCCAAGTGGATTCAATATGAAGCAGAAAGTCTTTCTTCTGCAGCGTAGTAGAAATCATGGCAAGCTGCTCATGGTATTCTTGGCTGTCTCTGCTGATAAAATAAATCTTCTAAAAACATTTTTCTTTGAAGCTACCCAAGCTGCTTGCTTGCTTAGGCAAGAAACTTGTGTAAACAGGCAAGTTGTCAAATGCTGCAAGTAATTACATCAGTACTTCCTTGCTGATAATGCACAGTGGGAAATGGTAATGATGAGGAGATAGTAGAGGAAGGTCTCTTCCCAGGGCTAGTCAAATCACTGACTAGGTGAAAATCTGAAATTCTTCCACATGAAGAATGTGTGGCCAAAAAGTCATGGGATCAAGTGCTACCTACTGCCTTGTAGATCATCAAACCTGAAACACTGTTGAGGATGTTCGCTATTTGGCAAGGTAGGAAGGATGTCTCCTGCGGATATAGTAGCGGGCTGGAACAGTGCTTAGGGTTATGGATATGTGTCCATTAAAAGGTATGTGCCTGGAAGCAAATGTAATATGTCCAGAATTCGAATTTTGCCTGCTATAACAATAAGCAGTCTTTCAGAAGAAGGGAGTGGACGAGAAAGCTAACTCTGGGAAATAGCGGCAACTGTTGCTTTGAGTGGGAATACTTGCAAACGACTCTGAGAAGTGAAAAGTAAACTTAAAAAAACCCCTCACTTTTTGTCAGAGGTACTTTTATTTTGTAACACTTTAAAATTTAGCATTGTCAAAATGTTTATTTCCTACCACTATGTCACTGTTTTCAATATTAGAACACTGGAAGTTTGAGCCTTTTGGTATTGCAAACAGGATTAGGCCGGCAGACTACCAAAATGCATAGTTTCAGTCTTACACACCAAAAAGTTATTTTTTGTTGGAATAATACTCTCCTGAGCTGAAAGTCAGTTGCCAATGTTCATGGGGTTTTTTTTTAACTACATGTAACGGTAGACCAGCGTTTGACCAGTAGAGGGCAGTAGCATAAGTACAGTGCTCAGCAATTCTTGCTGGAATCACTGAGGTGGTGTTCAGGATTTTTGTTTTGTTTTTTTTCCAGTGTTGTTGGTGTTGGTCCACAGGAAGCAGCACAGCATTACTTAATTATAGATCTCTGGGCTTCTCTCTTTCCTTTCTTGCTCACCCAAACTTGTCTCCCCTTCAGTAGAGGTGACATTACAGATTCTCAGAGACTTAACTATCTGGAGGATTATTAAAGATGTCTTGAAATGCAAAGAGTTAAGCAAATCCTAGACAAAGATATTTGAAATCTCCTGATTTGGAACCAATCTAGAATTCAAATGTTGTTTGACCATCTTTTTTCAGAGTTTTCTTGCAGCTTGACATAGACTTCTTCTCAAGATAGCGTATGGTCAAAAACTATGGGTATAACAATCTCGTAATGACTAGTGGCACATGTTATCAGGCTTTCAAGTATTAATAATTATCTGCAGAGTACATTTTAGTCCTAATGATTTTATTTCTTGCTGACCTTAGGCACTGTCTTGACTCGCAACTCTCCATGTTTCCTTTTTTTCAGTCTGAAACTCAGAATAGCAGGGCAGCGGCCAGTCAAGAGCATGCTCCACCCGTGTCCACTAACACGTCTCTGAGCCCTCGGCAGCGCCGGGCCCAGCAGCAGAGTCAGAGACGGGCTCCTTCTTCAACTGACTTTAATCGGGTCCAGCAACCACGAGTCAACATGAACCACACTGGATCAACTGTTCTGATTGTCCTCCTGACTTTTGCATTGGCAGCCCTTATATTTCGTAGAATATGTTTGGCTAATGAGTATATATTTGAGTTATAAAGTTGCTTGTCGTAACAGCAGTGACGCAGATGCTTCTTTGAACATTCTGTATGGAGTATGACATGAGAACTGTTTACAAAGATTAATTTTTGTATTTACGCTTAAATCCTTGTGAATGTTAATGTACCTACAGCTACATTACTTGGTCATTTAACTACAAGAAGTGTTAATTGAGTGCCCACTAGACACTTGGAGAAACACTGCAGTGGAATAGTAACATTAAGGCATGTGCAAGGGGGGTCATTTTATCATCTAGAAAAAGACAATTTAAAGCAAGTGGTTTATGGAACTTCTTTATGTAATGTAACTGCAATTAATCATGCCATCTAAGTTAGTACAGGATTTGACATGAGAGGAGGCATTATAGAATCGTGGAATAGCAAGTTGAGAGTAAACTCAAGGACCATCTGGTGCAACTTTACTTGAGAAAAACATTGTCTAGATAAGATGGCCCAGCACCCTGTCCAGCCAAAATTTAAGTATCTGAGCCTGTTGTCCACTAGGACCCCTAGGTCCCTTTCCACCAAGCTGCTCTCCAGCCAGATAGGTGCCAGCCTGTTCTGTACCTCTGGCTTATGTTTTACCAGGTGCAAGATCTTACCCTGGTCCTTATTGAACTTCATCTGGTTCTTACTAGCCCACTCTTCCAGCCTATCCAGGTCTTCCCACCTCTCTGTTCCATAGTGTCCTCTTTCCCACTCACTTCAGTGACATCAACCAGCTGTGTCAGGGTACACTCAATCCCTTCATCCAGATCATTATTAAAGAATGTTGGGCCCAATACAATGCCTGGGGACCTTATGCATGACAAGCTGCCGGTTCAAAAAGGAGCTGTTGACCACCGCTCTGTGAGTGTGGCTAGTCACCCAGCCCCCACCCACCACACAGACCACTTGTCTAGACTGTGAGGCATCAGTGTCTCTAGGAGGAGGCTGTGGGACACCATACCGAAAGCCTTATAGAAATCCAGGTAGACAATGTCCAATGCTTGCTCCGCATCAGCTGAGCATAGAAGGTTGTCAAATTTGCGCACCTGGCCTTTGGTGAACCTGTGCTGGCTTTTCCCAATCACATGCTCCATTTGACTTGTAATAGCCCCCATGAGGATTTGTTCCATAACTTGCCCAGGGTCTGAAGTAGGACGGATGGGCCTATAATCTCCTATGTCCTCCTTTAAGCCCTTCTTGTAGGTGGGGTCACGTTAGCCTTCTAGTCTTTTGGGATGTCGCCCAATCTCCACTTCTCAAAGGTTATGGAGAGCGGCCTCACAATGACATGAGCTTACTCTCTTAATACCTTTGGGTGGATAACATCTGGGCACATTGATTTATAGGAGTAAAGCTCCTGTAATAGTTCACATACCCTCTACTTCTTCACTGATGCTGGGTCTGTGTTTACGTTGACTTGGATTTTTGTTCACAAGGCCTGAGGCACAACAGTGCTGGTAAAGACATGGGTGAGGAAAGTGGTGAGAACTTCTGCCTTTTCAGCAATGTTGGTGACTAAGTCCATCTCACGCATTTCACAGCGGGCCAGTATTTTGCTTCTGCCGGTAGTTTACCTACCTGAAGAACCCTTTCTTGTAGTTCTTGACATCTCTTGCCAGTCTCTACAATAGTGTGATCCCTGCGGCCAAGGCTCTTGCTAACTGTGGTGTTACAAAGCAGGTGTTCTTGGTTTGTGAGTAGCAAGTCCAGCAGTGCCTCATTCCTGGTTGGCACATCTAGTGTTTGTATGAGGAAGCAGTCCTTTACACATTCCAGGAGCTCGATGGATGGCACAGGAGTTGAAGTTACCTGTAAGAACCAGGTTCTGTTGACCTGAAGCTTGCTTAAGTTTCATTAGCCTTACCATTTTGGTTTGGAAGTTGGTAGCAAATGCCTGATGTAAAATCCCTCTTGGAGATGACCCCTCTGATCTTGACTCTGAGGCATTCAGTAGGGCTTCCACAATCACTCTAGCTGACTTCTGTATGCTCAGGGGTCTCCTTAACATTGAGTTTGACTCCTCCGCCTCTTCTTCCCTACTTGTCTTTACAAAACAGCCTATAGCCATCTGTTACGATCCTCCATCGTGCCAGTTGTACTACCATAGTTTTCCTGTGGTATCTTAACTTTCTGACTGGGCACAGCACTCCAGTTCCTCCTGCTTGTTCCCTGGGCGGTGTGCGTTGGTCTGTACACACTTGAGGTTGTTGGTTTTCCACCTCATCCTGGGAGGCAGCTGAGGAACATTTAGTTGCTGCCCTGGCTGTCCTGGCTTATTCCCCACATGGTTGCAATGGTGTGAGCAGCTCTAGACCCTGACCCCTGAGTCCTTCAATTTAAAGCTCGCCTCATCAGTTTGGCCAGCTCCTTCTACACAGGTGGATCGCATCCTTCCCCAGCATAAAAATCAAAACCCTCATGACAGCACCAGCCCTGAAGCCTGAAGCTGATTTGCAGTACACATGTGTTTCTGACTGCACCCTTTCCTCTAACTGGTGAAATGGAGGAAAAGAGAACTTGGGCATCACTTTTTTTTCACTTGTGCCCCTAGGGCTTTGTCATCTTCCTTGGTTCTGCCCAGGTTTCCAGCTTGGAAGACTGCTATGTGTTTGCGCTCAGTGAACTCTTAATTTAGAGGGGATACCGTTTTGTAACCACTTCTTGTTTACCATGGGGCATTTCTAGAGGGGGAACATGCAGGAATTGGTTCTGATGCTGCTTTGTGTGTGTGACAGGGGGAAAGGGGTGGAGAAGGAAAGAAGGGGCCAGAAAAGTACTTGCGTTATTTAGATTTTCATTTCTTTGGAAGAAAGGTTGGATAATCTGTTGCAAGATTTGAATTTCCTCTTCTAATACTGTCAATTGTATATCTTGTGGGTTTGGTTTTTTTAAAATTGAAGATTATATAAACCGTGTCTATTCTTGCAATAGTTATAAATATGTAATATAATTATTTACCCAGAGCAATTATCTTTGAATTATATCAGAATTATACATAATGTGTTAAACTGAATGTTTCATATGTGGTTTTATTTACTGAGGAAAATTTAAACCTTATTATACTTAAACTCTCATACATGTGAACATGCCTAAGAGAAATATTTATTAAAACCTCGGTAGTAATAAAGAATTTCAAGCTAGTCTTCAGTTATGTTTCAAGTATCACATCGCCTTTTTGGTTTTTTTTTTCTTTGTTTCATTTTTTTGTAAACCTAAAATCAATACTGGACCCCGAAGCTTTCTGCATAATTAGTTTTTTAAGGAAATAAAAAATGGGTAATATTCATGAATGCTATGAAATCACATACACAAGCAATAGACCTACCATTGTTTAAGTTTTGAGAGTTTTTATTTGTAAATGTTTAAGTATTGCAGTGAAGTGGAAGAAAGCAATCAGTGGGATGATTTTCCTCTTGTATTGTTCAGATATAAATGTATTCTAGCATGTTTATTTCAAAACCAATGAAATTTAGCTACCTTTCATTTTGTTGCTGTTAAACATGATTGCACTGACTTAAGTGAGATCCTTGTCCTGTTTCTCAGCAAGTACTTATCAAGCTACCTACAGCTTTCCTAAATTTTGTTAAATATAGTATGTATTCATGTTTTGGAACATTAAAAGTAACGATACCTACTTCTAAAATAAGGAAAGCCCATTGTCTGTCTAAGGGAGATGTGAAAATTAAACTCAGAAACTGAGTTCTTTTTTAACACTTCTTGTGGATTGTTCACAGAATCACAGAATCACAAAATGTTAAGGGTTGGAAGGGACCTCAAATAATCTGGTTTGCAGGTACAATGGAACATGTAGTTCGTTCAGCCGGTTCAGC